GGGCAAAAAAGCAATTAACTTTATGAGCAAAGAATCTATGCAGAAATCAAAGAACACAATATGAATAAATGAACTGCTACTCATTTGGCATTATAATGCAATACTTAAAAGAATCAATACTTCTACACATTTGGACAAAAAAAGAAAAGCACATCAACTAAAACAACCCAAGAATATTTTTCAAGAAAAGATATATTCCTATTTTTCCAAAATCAAGATTGAGTATAAGCATTAACAAATATGGCCATTAAGCAAATTCGTACAAATTATAAAGATCTTGAAAAAGAAAAGAAAAATTAACAATTTGTGTTCACGGGTGAGAAAAAAAAATAGAGGGGTTTAAGCTGACCTGCAGTTGGGGTTTAAGAGTTGAATAAAGTAATAAAAAGTTAATAGGCTTTTTTATGTCACTACCTCTCTGTCTCTCTATGTGTGTAGGTGCATGGTCATTCACTTTTCGGATTTGGCCTCTTTTCTCTTCCCCTTTTACATTTTTGTTCCTTATGTCTTAGGCCACAAGGAGGGCCATACCTGAAAAGTTCAAAACTAGCAATTTTCTTCCGTCGTTCAAATTTGATCAAGGTGTCCCTCCATCATATATTTCAATGGCCATGATCTAATCAACGAGTTCGAGCTCTAGGAATGAAATTCTCTCACACATAAAGAGGTTAACATCTCAATAGTAGAGTTTCAGCTTGTATATTTCACTTAAAGATTAAAAATATACTTAAATTTAATCTCACGCAAATTTCTCAAATTGAATTTGACAAAACAAACTATGGGCAATCAACCTACGTTAACAAAAGAATATTGAATCATTAGAGCCTTATTTCATAGAGTATTCAATCATGTTGTCTTTGATATTTAAAAATATGTCTTTTTTAAAAAAGATCTTTTTACTTCGAGAGTATTAGTTGAAAATGTTATGCATTCGATTTAAAAAGCAAAAACATATGACTTTAATTAATAAATTTATTATTAATGCGATCGAGAGTTTATGTAAATTGTTACAGCATCTACGACTAGCGATTTACCATAACTTTAGAAGCCTACCTTAGGCAAAGATTTATATTTCACGCATTTTATTCAATGAAAAAGCACTCAAAAAATAAAATAAAAAATAGGGGGTTCTCATCTGTTGCAACTTGCAAGTAGACAAAATTCCATTCAATCTCTTCATTCCTCTATATTCTTTTTTTCTTGTGAAAACAATATGTTGACAAGGTTATGACATTTTATCATTTAACATGGAGAATCCCTCAAATTCGTGCTTAACAACTCAAAAGAAATACATCCCATTCACTAGTTTTTGAATATTCGAATGTTATCTTAGAAAATGGAAAGGATACAAGATGCTATACCATAGAAGTGACGATCATATGGCGTTTTTATTATGGCATTGCATCACAAATTACGTTGGTTGTCATTTTATGTATGAATAAAACAAAGAATTGCATGAGCTGATGATCCGAGGAATGGTACATCTGGTGGAGAACATATTCCTAAATTCATTTAATACATGAACTTTTTCTTTCTTCTACGATTTTCGTTGAATATTTTTAATCCAGTAAAATTTTCAAAGTAAATAGACATTCAGAGTAGTCCCAGTTGATGAAGGAATATCAAGTCGAATTTTTAGAGATTGAATATTTTAACTTTTGGCTACTAAGTATTACTTCTAGGTGCAGCCTATATTTCAAGGAAATTGACATTCATGTTACAAGAAAACATTGAAGATTAAACAAAGAAGAATTGCATGGTAAATGCCACCGACTAGATTGGTTCAGTTGGAGCACGTGCTGTTTAAAATTTCTATATTTTAATTCATTTGTATTTTCGAGTTTAATTTTCTCGAAGAAATAATAATAGTGTATACCCTCAAAATCGGATAACAACTGAATTTGTAAGTGGTTTTAAGGATACGTGGACTAACTTGATACAAAATGATAAATTAGATCGTAATTGAAATAAATAATGACAAAGTAAATGCAAACCACACGAATTGAATAATATCAGCCTTGGAAGGTTAGCCACCCTCGAGCCGGATACGATTCGATCGGTGTCAGGATACAGAAGAACAAGAGCTTAAAGAGAAATAATAACAATGTATTGCTTTGGGATGCCTATTATAATATGTTAAATGAATTATCAAGCCCCCTTTTATATAGTAGAGGAGTCCTACTTTAGGTACAATTCTATAAAAGGTAAAAACATCCCTTTAATTGTGTTTTCGAAACTGATGAAATGTGCAAAATTACAGGAATGTTGGAAGTTGGACTCCCGGGATGAAATCCGACTCATAAAGGAGTAATCAAAACACAAGGCAACAAAAGGCACAAGAACTTACAAAGTGCGGACCGCAGAATTCTATCTGCGGTCGCAAACAATGAAGAAAAACCCAACAAGCTTCCTAGCAAAATACGGTCCGCAAAGAAATTGTGCGGCCGTAATTGAAGAATTACAAATCAACTTCAGAGAGTGTGCAATTTTCCAAAGTCCAAGTCCCTCAAGATTGCGGACCGCACAGGAATTGTTCAAAAGAAGTGCCTTGCGGCCGCAGAAGACCAAGTTCTGGTCGCAGTTTTAAATCTGCGGACCGCAGAAAGACTACCTCGCGGCCGCATATCAGAATTGTGCGGTCATAGACCTCCAGTTCCTGACAAGTTGAAGAAACCTGCAGACCACACATGAAATTGTGCGGCCGCAAAACCACCCGAGGGGCATTTTTGTCCGAAATTGTCAGCTTTGTATAAATAGAAGAGTTTCACGAAATTAGGTCAACTTTTGATATCAGCAACTACAGTAGCTGTTTCTCTTTGCTTCTTTAAGTAGTTTTTCATATTTTGGGATATTTTAACATAGATTTTATCATTTTGATTTTACAATATGAGTTTAATTAGTATTTCTTCTTCTATTTCTTCTATTTCAAGCATGAGTAGCTAGATTTTTACTAGGGTTGTGACCCAACCATAGTGTGTAAACCTTATGGGTATTTAATTTAATGCTTGTTTATTGTTGGGTGTTTATTATTTAGCCTTGTTCATGCTTTAATTTGTGGAATTAATGGTTGCAAATATTAGTTCATGCCTATTTGACTTTGTCTCTACTTGAGAAAGAGAGACTTAGTCTAGAAAAATTTGGCTAACAAGAAATTGGGTCAATCGAGAGATTGATAATCCCAATTAAAAGGTTCAACCTAGAGATAGCAATAACCCGACTTGAGCTTTTATCAACTGTTTTTGTGTAATACTCATTTGAACTTGAGAAAGCCAAATTGGGCAAAATCACTCTCTGACCGAGAGGTATTGAATGGGTAATTGAGAGTTGATAGCTATAATACACCCCGATCAACAAAACAAGCATTAAGGTTTATATCCCATTAGGCAAACACCTAGGTGATGGCCATAACCCTAGGCTTTTTACAAAACTTGAAAAATAACAAAAATAATTTCTTAGTTTTATTTCTTAACTTTGCAATCTTAGTTTAAAATAAACATAGAAACAACCCCAATTTGTGGAAGTGTAAATTGAGGTAGTTCAAACTCACACACTACAATATATACTCCTAACTCCCATATATGGCTCCCTGTGGAAATCGACCCCGACTCTTGTTGGGTACTATTATTGCAATCGGTTGTTTCATATCTTTAATTTGAGGTGTCGATTGGACGAGATCAATTTTTGGCGCTATTTTCGGGGAGTTAAAAACGGTGTTAACTATATATTTAGGTGTGTTTTTGGAATATCTTCTTTTCCTTCCTTGTTACTAACGTGCTGAGAAATTGTAGGTGCAATCACATCAAACAATGAGCTTGAAACTTAGCTTTGAGGGATGTGGACGTTGAGGATGATCAAATGGATGAGGTCCCTCTTGAACCTCAAGCCAATAGACGAGGCCGGGTGCCTCATGATAATGTGCCCGCTCCACCCCCACCTCCACCATGAGCGGCTCCACATCGGGTGTTGCTGAATGAAGGGTATGCAAGTGCTATAGTCCCTCCCCGTATTAGGGCAGGCAACTTTCAAATAACAAACGTGATGCTCACTTTTCTCAAGCAACGAGGGTTCTTCACCGGTGCACCGAGTCAAAATGCATTCAAACACTTGAAGGGGTTCGTAGATATGTATTGGGGGAATAAACAAACAAATGTCTCCGAGGATGCTTTGAGGCTAAGGCTTTTTCCCTTCTCTCTACGGGAGAAAGATTTAGATTGGTTAGAAAGTTTGCCAAATCATTTCATTCATACTTGGGATGAATTGGCGGAGAAATTTATTTCTAAGTACTTCTCTCCCGAGCACATGGTTATACTTCGGGATGAAATTCTAGCATTCAAGCAAGAGCCTAATGAACCACTACACGAGATATGGGTACAATATAGAACAATGGTGAAAGAGTGTCCCAACAATGATATGACGGAGAACATGATTCAACAAACTTTCTATCGGGGGATCAATACAACCAACCAATGTGTAGTAAATCAACTTGTCGTTGGGAACTTCATGACTACGCCTTATGCGGAGGCGTGTGATATTTTGG